AAAATTTGAAGTCATTCCTGAATGATTTTGGTAAGGTTTGAGACACTTAGTCTCTTTTAAGGAAGCTTAAGTTGGAAAAGTCAACCGGATATTGACTTATGTGTTAGAGCGCTCAAAATGCATATTTTATGGTTCGGATAGCTTTGTTAGGTGATTTGGGACTTAGGAGTATGTCCGGAATATTTTTGTGATGACCGGTGTAGAATTAAGCTTGAATCGGCAAAGTTAGTATTTTGGCGAATTCCGGTTGATAGGTAAGATTTTGATCCGAGGCTCGGAATGGAATTCCGAGAGTTGCTGTAGCTTCGGTATGTCATTTTGGACTTGTCTGCAAAATTTGAGATCATTTGGACTAGTTTTAACGTGTTTCGACATCGGATGTGAAAATTAGAAGTTTCAAAGTTCATAGGCTTGAATCCGAGGTGAATTTAGCATTTTTGCATTGTTTTTGGTGATTTGAAGAAACAACTAAGTTTGTGTCATATTATGGGACTTGTTAGTATACTTTGTTAGGATCCCACGAGGCTCGGACAAATTTTGGAAGAGGTTTTGGAAGATTTTTGCTGTTTTGAGCATAAATGTAATGATCTAAAGGTTCATTTTTAGTTCTAGAGATCCAAATTTGATTCCGAGACTTCCTGAATTTTGATAATGAATTATAGGACTGATCTGAAAATTTTGGTCTAATTTCCTCAAGTCGCGATTGGGTTTTTGACGCGAAACATGAGTAATTGTTTAACGAGCGAAATGGATATCGCACTGGGCAAATGAGCTCCGAATTGAGTTTCGATTGAAGGGTTGTGTTTGTTTTATTATTTTTGACTCATAGGAACAAGAATGGTCTAATTCCGAGTTCGTATGAAGGAGTTAGAGCCTTTTTAGTGAAATTAAAGAGTGTTGGTGCATCAGGTCTGGTGTGGCACTTTTAGCGACCAGATTAGCACCTTTAGCGACCAGATTTGGGTCTTTAGCGACGAGTTGCTTATTAAAAGCTGCTGCATTTCTGTTCGTTTTTTTACCTATTTTCTTGCGAAATAACACGGTTTGGGGCGATTTTTGAGCAAGAAATCATGAGAAATCTTGAGGTAAGTCACTTGTGATTATTTCTACTCC